GGAATATCATGCTCCTTCGTTTACATTTTATGTCTCAATCACTTGCTATCACTTTTAGGAAAAGAAGCATTGGGACTTCCGCTCAGGTCATGATCTCATGGTTTGTGAGTTTGAGCCCCTCGTCGCTCTCTGTGCTGACAGCTCAGAGCCTGGAGCCTGCTTCGGATTTTGTGTCTCCCTCTCTCTGCCCCACTCACACTCTGTCTGTCTGTCTCTCTCTCTTTCAAAAAATAAACATTAAAAAAAAAAAAAGTTGAGACAGGCATCTAAGGGGCCCGCCTGCACCTTAGCAGGAGGGAGTATATGCTGAGCCTTGCCAGGCTGGTCTTATCAGAGAATCAAATCAAGATTGAAAGAACAGTTTCTTCCGGGTGCAATAACTCAGAAATCATGCCTCATTTTTTTTTTTTCAACGTTTTTTATTTATTTTTGGGGCAGAGAGAGACAGAGCATGAACGGGGGAGGGGCAGAGAGAGAGGGAGACACAGAATCGGAAACAGGCTCCAGGCTCTGAGCCATCAGCCCAGAGCCCGACGCGGGGCTCGAACTCCCGGACCGCGAGATCGTGACCTGGCTGAAGTCGGACGCTTACCCGACTGCGCCACCCAGGCGCCCCTCGTGCCTCATTTTTAAGCCGAGGTCTGTGTAGTCACCTCACTGTTATTCCTGTCGGGAGTATTCCTTAACAGACTGATTTCTTCTTAAAAAGGACTACAATTGTATACACAAGATGATTGGCTTTCACAAATCTGGGTCTCTTGTAAACGAATAAGGTCACAGTCCAAAAGGAAGGCTAACAGGTCCTATCTGTTGCATTTTCTTACCATGATGTCTTAACCCAGGAAAGAGTTTTAGCCCTTATCAGGCATTTCCAAGAGAACCAGAAGGGAAATAGGATGGTCAGCAGTAAAGACAGAAGCAGGGTCTGTTCTGCCTCTGTGGTAGCCCCAGTGGGAGACGGTGGCTGTGACCAGACCAGGCGCAGGGATGCGAACAAGAACCGGCTGGATTGAGGATGTGTTTTGGAGGTAGTTGGATTTGCTGACTGTGGCTGTGGCGTGTGACCGAAAGGGAGGCCTCAGGGGTGACTCCAAGGGTGTAGGCTTCAGGAACTGGAAGAATGGGGTTGCCATCACCTGAGATTTGGATTCTTAATGCACAGTTGCTCTCATTTTAAAGTTTTCCTAATAATCTTCTTTAAATGTTGGGACGTCAAGGCAAATCACACGTATGACCCCTGAACCAAGTAGATCATAGGCTCTGCCATCAAATTTTAAATCCTATCAGTGAGCTGACTTTGATTTAATATAACAAATTTTAAAAGACCTCAAAATCCACATTTTTTAAAAAGCCATTACTGTTGGGGAGAGAATATATAAAAAGCAGAAAGAACAAAATTTGTAAATGTGGTATACAGTTTGTCCATTCTAAATTAAAATCTTCATCAGCCGTGTCAGCGAGTGGATGAGCAAAAGGTTGAAGTTAGAAGTTGGGACAGACATCTAAGCGGTCAGCATGTTACCTTAGCAGGAGTGAGTATATGCCAGGTGTGTTTAATATATTGTCGATAGACTTGTGTGTGTGTGTAAAAGCATTACTAGGTTTAAGAAAAATCAGGAAAGCGGGACTATTTTGTTCTGAGCACGGTGACTTGAGAGTTTGTGAAAAAACTATTTCGTTAAAGAAAGAAACTCCGATATTCATCATCAAATTACTGATTGGAAAAATAGGTTGAGATTAAGTACCTGTATACAGGGGATGCCTCACATCCAGAAATTTCACATTTACCATTTTGGCTTTTCACACATGACCTTTGTGGGGCTTATGTCCAGGGGGACATCACCCAGCTGCTTGTGTGAGCTTAGCCAGCCTCTCAGGTCTCTTTGCCTCTTCACCCATACATAGTAACTCTCTACAAGCTAAAACTGTGGGTCTATTTGTAAAATTACGGCCCTAACAGAAAGTCGACAGCTGATGTCCAACTGAAAGAAGTTGCTTTCTACTTACTTTTCACTGCATTTTATGGGAGCGAGTGTATGTGATCATGGTGTTTTGAGATTGGTAAGGGTCTGACCACTTACAGATATCAGCAGTGTTTGAATATGTGAAAGATTTACTGGGCGTGTGTGTGTCTGTGTGTGTGTGTGTATTTTCCATGTGACCAGCTACAGCAGCAAGGCGTCCACTTTGCATTGTTTCAGCTGACCTCCCCAGACCAACTTGCCTGAACCCCCCACCCCCCCAACCCATGAACAATGGCATGTCTTACCACTTGGCTGAATAAAGGGGTTGTGTGTGGCTCTGGAACTGAGCCTGGGATTTGAACACATGAATTCACTAACATGAGCCAGAGTTAAGCCCGGATTTTTCCCCGGGCTAATATCTAGACCTGTCAGTGGCCTGGCCACCCCAAGCTGGTGGTGACAACAAACTCAGATGGGTTCCTTTTCTGCTTCCTGTCTTTGGGTCCAGGGCTACCAAAAGCACCCACGCAGGCCTCTCGTTTAGGTTTTGAATGTGGTTTTGACTCATCTTGCTGGCTGTGCAGGAGCCTTGATGCAGGGTGGGGCACTAGCTGGAAAGGTTCCCCTCCCTGTTTGGGCTTACAGGAAGGAGCAAGTAAAAAAGTAAAGGGTCGCGGCTTTACTGACACTGTACTTCCAAAATATATTTGTAGAAAGGTTAAGCTATATCTGTTTATTCTCCAGCTTTAGCATATTGTAAAAAGTGGTGGAGATAAATGGTACCATTTTATGGTGGCGCATTGTGATAGTATCAAAATAAACTGTTTGTACTTAGGTTTACAAATTTATCATTGAAGGACTAGCAGATTTTATTATAAGGCAGCATAACTGTACTCTCTGGCTTCATTAATTATGATGCCCAGACATAGTTAGGCTCTATCTAAGAATAGATAAAATGGAAAATAATTCTGAGAAAAAGGGTTGGGGATTCTGAGGAACTGAAAGAACATAACACAGAGCATCCATTGATTCTCAGACTCAACATGGGGACTAACCGTTAATTTTGTTTCCATTTCATGGTCCCTTATAACCTAAAATGTCCTCTGTGATTCAGAAATAACAATTTTGATGATTGGAAGTTGATCCATTCATTTTTAATTGGTGAATTTTATTTTTTAGAGCAGTTTTAAATTTATAGAAAAATTGAGCAGAAAGCATGGAGTTCGTTCCCATGTATATATACCTCCTCTCCCCACACCCACAGTTTCCCCTATTATTAACATCTTGCAGGAGAAGTACGTTTGGTACGGTTGAACCAGTATTGACATATTATCTAAAGTCCATAGTTGACGTTAGAGCTTACTCTTCTTTAGTGGGTTTTGACACATGCATAATGTCACATGTCATACAGAGTAGTTTCATTGCCCTCAGTTTCTCCTGTGTTCCACCTCTTCATTCCTCCCCCACTTTTGCCCTGAAGCCTTGGCCACCACTGATCTTCTTACTGGCTTTTATGGCTGTGTCAATCTGTTCATTTTTAAGCAACTACCCAGATGTTCCTAAGGAAGCATCATTCAATCCTTCATAAAATGAGCCCCCAATAAACCCTGTGTGCTAGGCAGTGTTGTACACATTGAGAATCTAGCAGAGAACCAGAAATGTAAAATCCCAGTCTTTGGGAAGCTTACATCCTAGTACAGCCAGCCTCCAAGCTTCGCTAAGTCCTGCGGAGGAGTGAGGGGGTCCCCTGAGGACACAGAATGAGAGGAGGTAGTTGGGAGAATTTGAGAACGGGACCTCCTGCCAGTGAGCCCCCACCCCCGTCTCAGGTCAGACCCCATCTTCCCCACGTCCTTCCTGCAGCTAGTCCCAGCTGGCCTGCACCAGCTGCCACCTGCATTTTCCCCACTAAGAACTGCTAGGGCACAATGCTATTTCCCAACTTTTCGTCTCCTGCTGTTTCTGAAATAAGCACAAGCACCTCTTTCAGACTTTCATTTAGCTTTTACTACTAGTTATCTACAGCCCTGCCTGGTGCTAGTAAAATAGGATGGAAGGTTAACAGAATTCTAAGAAATAGATGCCCATGACTATCATCTAAATACTAACTGGACAAGATCTTTGGAAGGAGATGACCCAGAGTTCCCCGTCTTGCCCTCTAAATCCTCTCTGCTTGGGCAGGTGGACATCAGTTCTCCTGCCTTGCCATAAGAACCCCACCCCACCCCACCCCCGCCATTCTCTACCCAGCTGCCTTCTCCCTCACCCTAGTCCTCTGGAAAGAGAAGAGGTTTTGTCAGTTGAGGATGGGCCAAGGGGCAGGTAGAAGATTGAAAGATATCTGTTTCTTCCTCCCCAACTCTGTCTCCTTGTCTCACACAAAAACCTACATAAAGTTAAATGGGCTCCTTAGAACCTCCAGAGCACATTCCTAAGAGCACATTCTGTGCTCTGCTTCTACAGGCTGGTGAGAGCCCATTGTGTGCGTGTCTCCCCAGCTACACATTCAGTGACATCACATTGGTCGCTTCAGTTGGTCAAGGAGGGGGTAGGTAATCAGTGCCACAAATAAAGAGTTTTACTACTTTTTTCCAGAATTACTTTTCCAGCATGCTATCGGGCAGACCCTTGTCGATCAAATTCTTATTTTGATTCTACCATAGGAAATTAAATTCACGAACACTATATATTCATAAGCTCTAACTCTACTCTCCATGGTTTGGAGCAGGGGAGATTTGATCAGTCAGCAGGAGTCAGCAGGAGATTTGATCCCGTGTTTTGAAAACCAGGCTTTGCATCAAGCTGCACAGAACTTGCTCACCCTTTTCATTTCCCTTGAAAGGACTGAGGCAATATACGGGTGGTTTCATCCATGTCGTCGTCATTGATCTCTCACAATATGACCATAAAACTTGCAGTTGGAGGCATGTGACCACGATCACAGCATTTTCCTCCCCAGACCGTAGACAGCTTGCATGTCCGTGTGTGATTAACAAGGTGCCGCCCTTGCTGACTCGCCCTTTGTGCTCCGTGTAGGACCGCACACGCACGAGCGAAAGCTGACGCCGCTGACCAGGCAGCTCAGGCTGCCCGCCAGGAGTGTGACATCGCAAGAGCTGTGGCCAGGGAGCTGTCGCCGGACTTCTACCAACCAGGTGAGACTGTTGTCCAGTGATGGGAGAGGTAGGGGTATTGCCTCTGGTTTCCTTTTTTTTTTTTTTTTTTTCCTCCTTAAAGGTCTATGCCTCGTGAATACCAGCAGTACTACAAAACAAGTAGGTACAAAAAGTCCTAAGTATTTGAAGTCTGAGTGTTAGTGCTGGAGATTTGGCTTATTGCCCAGTGTCTCTCTCTTCCTGCCTCCCGACTCCTAGGCCACAAACTTGGAGCTGACAGCAGTAAATGAAATGGGAACCTAAAAGAAGCATCTGATTCTAAGAAACGGTGTTAGTGTGTTAGTGACCACTGCAGATGTTGTAACAAATACTCCAAAATAAGAGGCACGTATAACAATACCGTTAGCAGTAGTAAAGAAATGAGCTAGTAACTACTGTGACTAATTTTTTTGTGTGTGTGTGACTAATTTTTTTAATATACTTGAACTAAAGTTCAAAGGACTGTGGTTAGGTAAGGAAGTAAATCACTTAAAAACAGGTTAATTTGCACAGATTAAGAGGAAATTCCAGGTCATAGTAGAAGAAATTAAAATAACCTCAAAAAAAATCAATCCAGATCATCTATCTCTCAAATGTCTTAAAATAGCAATATACGAATATTTGCAGTAGGTTTAAATATTTAAGTCCCTTTTAGTGGTTTCGTAGTACATTGTTTCTATCCCTTTCTATAATGCTCGCCTCTTTTTTATATGTTTCTTCATTGTTTTAGAACCCACAACTCCCTAGTGATTGGAGGGGCAACAGATTTCTAGATGAAGGGATCAAAATCAATGCTTTAAATTTCTTAGTATCACAATTTATAGTTTCTTGGTAAAGAATCTTTCCACACTGGTTTCTGTTAAGCTGGAAAACAAGCAGCCTGCACAACACAGGTGTTCAATCCATGTTTGCTTCCAATAAACGTCCTAGAATCCTGGAGCCCACAGGGCACCGTAACTAAATGAACAGGGCAGGTCCAAGTGCACAGAATAACAAGATGCATACCAAAGCTACAAACTTGGCTGTAATAAAGGATGGAGGAATGAGAATGAGGGACATGGTGATTTTTTTTTCCTACGAAGAATGAGGACCAGGTAAAAGGCTGGGTTGAGAAGACCCTGTTCTTCTAGGAGAATGGAGAGGGGCCCAGTCTAGCCGCTGAGCACTAGGGCTGTCAGAGTACCTTCTGTAGTAGTTCACCTCCAGGGAGACAGCCACAGTCGTGGGGGTTTTCTTTCATGTGCCTCCTTTTTAAACCTCTGGATGAGATTTCAGCCATTTAATACATGCATATATTTCTAAGAAAGGGAAACTCTGCTCATTGCAGTGACCGCTGCTAGGAATAAACTATGTTCTGGTGTGAAATGAACTCACACTTCTCTAGTGCCTAAGTACGTCAGTCACTACCTGTTGGTGTGAGAGCTGCAGACAGAGTTCAGCCACCCAGGAGGGACCGTCCTTTGCCCTCCCCAGTGACCCTGCCATTGGGAAGCAGCTCAGCAGTCAGGAGCTAGTGCCGCTTCATGGAGGAGCCCTGGGCTGGAGCTACTTGGAAAGCAGACAAACTTAGTATTGTTGTCTGTTGTTAATTCTCCCGGGGAATAGCGTCCCAATAGATTTCTGTTAGGTGTTACCAAGAGGTAAATGATACTGAAGGTCATCTCAGTTGCCCAGACTAAATGGTTTTAAAAGCCTTTTATGGCATAAAAGCATTGGAGGGAAAAAAAATATTGTGGGAAAATGTAATTCCAGCCTCGGAGCTAACATGCCAGCTTCATACACGCAAGTTGTCCATCAGTAATGAATACATCACAGTAGCACGAGATGACAACGGGTCTATTGGAGACAAGAGCTAAGGGGAAGGCTGCAATCCCCTTTGACCCATAGCCAACTCTTCCTTCAGCAGCTGGATAGAAAGCCTTTTCTGTACTAAGTATTATTGATCTTCTCAAGGGAGCATAACTCAAGCTTTCCACTCTGCATTTATAGGGTGATCAAATCAGATAGACATTTCTAAAAGGGCTTTCAAGTCCTTTTTCTAAGTCAGGCTGCTCATTTAATTCACATATCTTAGATATAAATATTTCCATTGTTTGAAACGCATTTGTCGTACATAGAAGCTGTTGGCCCTGGAATAAAGGAGGTCTGTTGTAGCTTACACTTTGAACACTTTCTCAGGAGCAGGCAGTATTTTCAGATATTTACCATCTTAGTTAAGCCGAATGCTTTTAGTTCAAAACCACATTATTCTACAGTTCAGTTAAAAACTAAGGGGAAAATAGGAGCATGTGGGATGGCTTTGTCACTCAAAGGGTTAAGTTCTAATGAGTAACAGAAAGCATACCTGTGGAGGTATGTGAATGTACGTGTAGATAATTGCACGTGTACACACACAGAAACCTACACTGTCGTGTGTGAGCGGCACAGCAAGGCATCCCCCAGGAACTTAGAAAAGAGAGTTCCCTCTGAGAGTGAAATTTTAAAATGAGCCTGTGATGCTGCACAAAGATATACAAAGTGAGCATAAGTAATAGCACAGCTGTATTACAGCAAGATTTCTTTGTAACCTAAGTGTATTAAAACATCTAAACAATTGGCCACCCAAAGTAGTATAGAAAAAAAAAAAAAAGAAGCCGCCACAGGGGCAAAAATTGGCAAAGCCCACCCAAACACTGTCCAGAGGACAGAGAAGCTGTGGCCAGAACCTTGGAGTATTGCAGTGGAACTGGCAGGGACGTTTGTGTTATGGGTCAGGATGCAGGGAACTGTGGCCAACCGTGTATGGCCTTATTGGCAAGATCATCCGACTGGGGAAATGGATGCATCAGCCCTGCTCAGCCTGATGCCTGTAGATATTTGATTGATCTCATGCGTCTTGTCCTGAGTCCACGCTCACTGTAACCTTCTCATTTCGGGTGAGCTTGTCACGGAGGTCTACCATCAGGAACAGCATGCACTGGCGTTCCGGTGTAAGCCCCTTGGCCTGTGTCGTGTTTACATTGCCCATTGTGAACTAATGACTTGACCTTCTGGTGTTATACATCAGGATTGTGAGCTCTGGTGATGTGATTCTGCCCCAGGGGATGGCTCTACTTCAAAGTGCTGATGAAATTGGGTTTCTAAGCCAGGAAAGCTGAGATGAGAATTTTGCATGACCGCTAGGGAAGTGGAGGGGAGGATGACTGGGAAACTATGTGGTGGTTCTTTGTCCCACTGTTTCCATTTCCTTTCCATCAAGATGCTTACTTTGTTTTTAATTCCAAGTGATATTAAGTAAGGTGTAAAACTTATATTTTTATCAATTGTGGGAGTGACTGGGCTAAAAAAAAGACTGAAAAACACTGCCCCAGAATGTGGTAAACATATTTGCTTTGAGCCCTCTTAAGAGATTGCCAGTTTAGGGGCGCCTGGGTGGCGCAGTCGGTTAAGCGTCCGACTTCAGCCAGGTCACGATCTCGCGGTCCGTGAGTTCGAGCCCCGCGTCGGGCTCTGGGCTGATGGCTCGGAGCCTGGAGCCTGTTTCCCATTCTGTGTCTCCCTCTCTCTCTGCCCCTCCCCCGTTCATGCTCTGTCTCTCTCTGTCCCAAAAATAAATAAAAACGTTGAAAAAAAAAATTAAAAAAATAAAAATAAAAAAAAAAAAAAGAGATTGCCAGCTTATTCCCTAGGCAACATCCTCAGCAAGTTTTGCCTTCCTGTGTTTAAGCATGTGTATTAGTCAGCCCGGCTGCTATAACAAAGTAAAATACCACAGACTGGGTGGCTTAAGCAACAGACATTTATTTCTCACAGTTCTGGAAACTGGAAGTCCAAGATCACAGTGCCAGTATGGTTGGGTTCTGGTAGAGAGCCATCGACCTGGCTTACAGATGGCCTTCTTCTCCCTCTCTTCACATGGCCTTTCCTGGATACATGTGTATGCAGAGAGAGAACTGTGGTTTCTCTTCCTCTTTAATAAGGGCACTGGGGTGCCTGGGTGGCTCTGTCAGTTGAGTGTCTGACTCTTGATTTCATCTCAGGTCATGATCTTGTGGTTCATGGGGTTGAGCCCCACGTGGAGCTTCAATGCTGATTGTGTGGAGCTTGCTTGGAATGCTGTCTCCCTCTCTTTCTGCCCCTTCCCTGCCCATGTTCTCCTGTCCCTTTCTCCAAATAAATAAACCAAAATAATAATAATAATAATAATAATAATAAGGGCATTAATACTATCATGAAGGTCTCACCTTCATAACCCAATGTAAACCTACTTACCTCCCAAAAGCCGCACCTCCAAATACGAACACATTGGGGGTTGGAGCTTCAGCATATGAATTGCGGGAGATACATACATTCAGTCCATAATAGCATGTATGTGCACACACATACACTCTGTACATTATTTAAAGTAAAAGTGAAGTCTTTAGGTTATTATGAGCCAGGGTTAAACTAAGGTCACGTTTGTGGTATGAATGATAAATCTTTAGAAATCAAAGCATATTTTCATTATTTAATGGTCTATGCTTATCATTAATATGTAGTATTTTTGGTTAAGAAAAGGGAAGTATCCTGAAACAGATGACTTCTAAACTCACTTTCCAAAACCCAGATTTCAGAGTAACTGTTTTCATAGCAAAAGGGAAATACAGGATGCCTGGATGGCTCAGTCAGTTAAGCATCTGACTCTTGATTTTGGCTTGGTTCATGATCTCATCGTTCATGAGTTCGAGCCCCATGTCAGGCTCTGTGCTGACAGCACAGCGCCTGCTTGGTACTCTCTCTCCTGTCTCTCCCCCTCCCCCTGCTTGTGTGTTCTTTCTCTCTCTCTCTCTCAAATATTTTAAAAATGATCTATTAGTTGACATGAAATTAATAATTCATGAGTTTGGTTATTCTTACTGCTTACTCATTTCAGTATGTTCGGTTCCACAAGCATGTGCTAAGAGCCAGCCCTGCGCAAGGCAGTGGAATGGACGTACCACAGCCTGCAGACAAGAGCGCCATGGCTACGTTCAAAGAAGTAGCAGTGTTTTTAAGGATGGGACTCTGAAGTCCTGTAGGAAACGGGTGTTCTTTCCACATAGAATATAAAAGTAATCCTGCTACCACTTATGTAATCTGTTTAGAATCTTCCAATCTTTACTGATTGGCAGTCTCCATAGAAAATACCTGATTTCTATTTAATGACTTCTGACGTTGCCATAAAGCATTTGCTATCCGCCCGGTCCTTGCAGGCATTTGTTTGGGGGAATCTTCATGGCACTGCTTCTGCCCATACCCAGCCATCCACAGCTCACCTGTGAGGAACTAGGTGCATACCCTGCTGTTACCATCTGCCGTATCTGTTCAGGGCCTCCATGCCAACTGTAGCAAGTAACCTCTCAGTGTTGGTGGATGACATGTGCTGAATGTTGTTTGATGTCGTGTGGCCTGTATCTGACTTCTTCCTCATATGAATCCCTGGGGTGGGGGAAGAGTCCCTCAGGATTCATAGATACGGTCTGTAAAAATAGATGAAAATGCTTACTGCAACAACTGTCTACATGTATCCTAATTTTCCTTCCTGGAAATATTCTGACAAGTCTTTTTTTAATTTTTTTTAATGTTTATTTATTTTAGAGAAACAAAGCATGAGCAGGGGAGGGGCAGAGAGAGACGGAGACACAGAATTCAAAGCAGGCTCCAGGCTCTGAGCTGTGTCAGCACACAGCCCAATATAGGGCTCGAACTCACGAACCATGCGATCATGACCTGAGCCGAAGTTGGACATTTAACCGACTGAGCCACTCAGGTGCCCCCTGACCAGTCTTTTTAATGAACTACTGTGGCTCCTCAATCCTGTGTCGCTGGTGTGGCCCTGCCTGACACACATTACTCCACAGAACAAGTAGCAAGCGCAACACATGCCTTCCAAGAAGATAGTCCAGGAAAAACTTCTGTCCTCTGCATTATATGTCTTGTTTAAAAAAGCATTTAATCTCACTCTAGAAAATCTAACTGTATATCCTCCTTCCTGGCCAGTCTCCACATGACTACACCATGTTGGAACCATTGCCAGCTGGATGTAATCATGTAAGGCTGGAGTTAGGTCCATCTCTAGTCAATGTTTTTTTTGTTTGTTTTGGGGGTTTTTTTGGCATGCTGTTAAATGGCTGTATCTGGGTACATTAGAATCACCTGGAGCATTTGTGACACATCAAGATTTCAAGGCTGCACTTCATAGTTATTCAAAGTCTCTGGGAATCATATCCCAGGTGCCTCTGATAGGCAGCAAATAGGGAGCCACTGCTTTACAGTACATTTATTTTCTTACCTAGCCATTTATGAATGCATAGTAAAGTTGAGAATTTTTTTAAGATGTAAAGTAGGCCCTAGAATGTACGTCCACCACTCTAGTAATTTTTTTTTGTCATAAACTTGACATACAGTGTTCGTGTCAGGTGTACAACACTGTGATTGATATGACCATCCTATGCATTCTGTAAGCCTCACCTTAAGTGTAGTTACCATCAAAGTTATTACAGTGTTACTATAATATTGACTATATTCCCTGTGCCGTCATGTCCATCCCCTTGATTTATTTAGTTTTTACCTCTTAATCCCCTTCACCTATCTCACCAATGCCCTCTCAACCACCAGTTCTTTTCATAGATTTATGAATCTATTTCTGTTCTTTTTTGTGTGTTGTTTTTTAGATTCCACATATAAGTCAAATCATATGGTATTTGTCTTTCTCTGACTTACCTCACTTAGCAAAATACTCACTAGGTCTGTCCATTGTTGTCACAGATGGCAAGATCTTATTCTTTTTTATGGCTGAGTAATATTCCTCTGTGTGTGTGTTTGTACCACATATTACTTACTGATTCATATATAAATGGACACTTGGGTTACTTCCACATCTTGGCTATTGTAAATGCTACAGTAAACATACAGTAAACTTTTTGAATTAGTGTTTCTCTTTTCTTGTGGCAAACACCCAGTAGTGGGATTACTACTGTAGTGTATGGTATTTCTACTTTTAATTTTTTGACGAATGTCTGTACTGTTTTCCACAGTGTCTGCACCAATTTACATTTCCACCAACAGTGCACAAGAGTTCCATTTATTGATTGATTGATTGATAGAGAGAGAGAGAGAGAGAGAGAGAGAGAGAGAGAAAACTAGAGAGCAAGTAGGATAGGGGCAGAGAGGGAGACAGAATCCCAAGCAGACTCTGTACCGTCAGCACAGAGCCCAGTGTGGGGCTCAAATTCACGAACCAGGAAATGACCTGAGCCAGAGTCAACAGTCAGATGCTTATTAACCAACTAAGCCACCCAAGTACCCCAAGGGTTCCTTTTTCTCCATACCTTCAACATTTATTATTTCTTGTCTTTTTGATACTAGCTAGCTATTCCTACTGGTGTGAGGTGACATCTCATTGTGGTTTTGATTTGCATTTCCTTGATCATTAGTGATATTGAGCATCTTTTCGTGTGTCTGTTGGCCATTTATATATCTCTTTGGAAAAATGTTTGTTCAGGTCCTCTGCCCATTTTTTAATCAGATTATTTTGGGGTTTTGGTGTTGAGTTGTAGGAGTTCTTTATATATTTTGGAAATTAACCCCTTAATCAGATATATCATATGGAAATATCTTCTCCCATTCAGTAGGCTGCCTTTTCATTTTGTTGATGGTTTCTTTCTCTATGAAAAAGATTTTTATTTTGGTGAAGTCCCAATATTTTATTTTTGCTTTTGTTTTCCTTGCCTCAGGAGACAGATCTAGAAAACCTTTGCTAAGGCCAATGCCCAAGAGCTTACTGCCTGTTTTATTAGTTTTATAGTTTCAGATCTGATGTTTGGGTCTTTAAACCATTTTGAGTTTATTTTTGTGTCTTGTATAAGACAGTCATCCAGTTTCATTCTTTTGCATGTAGATGGCCAGTTTCCCCAACACCATTTATTGAACAGACTGTCTTTTCCTTATTGTATATTCTTGCCTTCTTTATCCTACACTGACCATATAAGCATAGGTACAATTCTGGGCTCTCTATTCGGTTCCCTTGATCTATGTGTTTCTTGTTGTGCCTATACCATACTGTTTTGCCTACTATATAGCTTTGCAGTATAGCTTGAAATCTGGGATTGTGATGCCTCTGGTGTTTGTTTGTTTTTTCAAGATTGCTTTAGCTATTTGAAGTCTTTTGTGGTTCCATACAGATTTAAGGACTATTCCAGTTCTATGAAAAATACTATTGGTATTTTGATAGGGATATGTAGATTGCTTTGGGCAGTATGGACATTTTAATCATACTAATTCTTCCAGTCCATGAGCATGGGATATCTTTTCATTTGTATCACCTTCAGTGTCTTTCCTCAGTGTCTTATAATCTTCAGAGTATAGGTCTTTCACTTCCTTGCTTAAATTTACCCCTAGGTATTTTATTCTTTTTGATGCAGTTGTAAATGTGATTCTTGTCTTAATTTCTCTTTCTGCTACTTCATTATTAGTATATAGAAACACAATATATTTCTGTATATTGTGTAACCTGCAACTTAACTGAATTCATTTACTAGTTCTGATAGTTTTTTGGTGGACCCCTTAGGATTTTCTATATATAGTATCATGTTATCTGCAAATAGTGACAGTTTATTTCTTCCTTACAAATTTGGATAAATCCTAAATTTGTAAGCTGCACTGTTACGGTCTCATATTTTCCAAATGAAGCACATGGGCTTTGTGACAGCTTTATTTCTCATGGTTAAGTGACTCTGTATCTTTTCCTCACAACTTTAAGAATGTATAAGCAATCGTGTTTGCCAGAGTCTGTTTTTTCTCCACTCTCTTCTGTATGGCTATTTAAGTTAAATATTAACTTTAGATTTGATCTTTAGATTTGCAAAAATAACTTTTGCTTGTACCCCTTAGATTGAAGACATTAAAAGAACTCTGTGGGACACCTGGGTGTTGAGTACCCAGTCAACTCAGTTAGTTGAGCATCTGACTTCAGTTCAGGTCATGATCTCATGGTTCATGAGTTCGAGCCCCACATGAAGCTCACTGTTATCAGCACAGAGCCTGCTTCAGATCCTCTGTTCCCCCTCTGTCTCTGCCCCTCCCCCACTCATCCTCTGCCTCTCTCTCTCTCTCTCAAAAATAAATAAAATATTAAAAAAATAAAAATAAATGTACTTTGTAATTTCTCTATTTCCATAATGCTGTAAAATTGAATAACAGTGAAGTACATATAAAACCAACCAACTCTGATGAAATTTTGAGTATAAGGAGTCAGAGAAAAAGTATGTAAGGAGCACACTGCCTCAAACTCTATCAGATAATATCCCTTATCACAGGAGGGTAGGAGGGGTTTTATAAAAAAATAAATCTGCCATAGAATAATGAGGTTCTTTCTCCATGAAACACCAGCGTAAATGATCCTAATGGGTTTTTTGAAATAGGGGCAAATCTGTTGATGAAAGGTCACTTTCTGGTGCCACTGCCACTTCTTTCTCTTAGTGGAGGTATGTGCTGGTCACAGCACCAAGAAAGAATTCAGAAACAGGAAGATCTCACCTTTTGAGGGATTTGCAGATCCCCCTTTCTCTTTGCTCCACTGAGATACCTTTTCTGGGCCAGGAATTCATACTTTCAAAGAAAATTGCCAAATTTATTATTTTTTTTTTTAATTTTATTTTGAGAGAGAGAAGGGGCAGAGAGTTAGGAGAGAGAATCCCAAGCACACTAAGCACAGTTCCCCACGTGGGGCTTGATCTCACGAACTATGAGATCATGACCTGAGCTGAAATCAAGAGCCAGACACTTCACTGACTGAGCTACCCAGGCACCCCGAAAATTGCCAAGTTTAAAAGGGATGGTAGCCTTTGAGGGAGCTTATCAGGTTTAGAGAAGAAAGCACAATTGGTGACATAGGATTTTATCCTATTTGGGAAGTTTGCATCCTTCAGACTTCTGGAGGATGGAAAGTGGGATAATGCTGTTTGCTATGTTTTCACCCCTGAATATAACCTGTAATTGTGGATCCTTGGGAATTGTCATTTCTTGGCTTAAGATACTACATTATATGTTGAATTACATTTTGTCTTAAGGAAACACAGGAGCTATGTGATTTTAGGTTTTTAGCTACTATAGCTATTTTCACATCAGCAGATTGGGATAATAATGCCTGCTTCCTAAGATTTTGGTGAGGCTTTAAACTTTGGGAAATACCTTGTATAAATAGTACATAGTCTCATAACAATAAGTTACTACTCAGCACAGGAAGAGCAATTAAAAGTCTAAGTGGACAGTATGTATTTTAAGTATTAAGGATAATTGTTCTTAAGCTCCTCTGTAAATCCTTTAAGTTTGGTGTGAGGGATGGAAGTGGAGGACAGGAAGGAAAGTGAACAGATGCCAATTTCTGTAAACAAATTGGTGGGGTGGTTTCTCCCTATTTACTCAAGAGATGCTGTTGTCAGCTCTTGCCTGTTTGCAGAGAAAAGGGCCACCTGCACTCTGTGACCTTGACTTCACCTCAGGAGATGAGAGTGGCTGATTATCCACAACAAGAACCTGTATCTCCCACTCCCCTTCACCCATTTTGCCCCTCCCACACCCTCCTCCCCTCTGGCAACCATTAGTTAGTTCTCCATATTTATGAAGACAAATCTCCATATTTTTGTTTGTTTTGCTTTTTAGATTCCTCATGTAAGTGAAATCATGTGGTATTTCATGTGGACTTATTTCACTTAGCATAATATCCTATAGGTCCATCCATATTATCACAAATGTCAAAAATCTTATTTTTCATTGCTGAGTAATACTTCAGTATTTATATATATGACGTTTTTATCCATTCATCTATCAAGGGACACTTGGGTTGCTTCCATATCTTGGTTATTGTAAGTAATGCTGCAGTGAACATAGAGGTGCATATATCTTTTCAAATTAGTATTTTCATTTTCTATGGGTAAATACCCAGTAGTGGAATTACTGAATCATATGGTATTTCTGTTGTTAATTTTTTGAGGAACCTCCATAGTGTTTTCCACAGTGGTTACACCAATTTATGTTTCCACCAACAGTGCGGAACGATTCCTTTTTTCTCCACATTCTCACCAATGCTTACTTCTTGTCTTTCTGATACCACCCATTCTGAAAGATGTAAAGTGACTGTGGATTTGATTTGCATTTCCCTAATGATTAGTGTTGCTGAGCATTTTTTCAAGTGTCTTTTAGCCATCTGTATGTCTTCTTTGGGAAAATGTCTGTTCAGGTCCTCTACCCATTTTTTAATCAGATTGTGGTGTTTGGGGAGTTGAGTTGCATAAGTTCTTTCTATGTTTTGGACATTAACCCCTCATTAGATATATCATTTGGAAGTATCCTCTTCCAGTTTTAGTAGGTTGCCTTTTTGATTTGTTCATTTCTTCTTTGCAAAAGCTTTTTATTTTGGTGTAGTCCCAATAGTTTATTGTTGCTTTTGTTTCTCTTGCCTAGAAAAGTGTTGGCTGAGGCTGATGCCAAACAGATTATTGCCTATGTTTTCTTCTAGGAGCTTTATGGTTTCAAGTCTCACATTTAGGTCTTTAATCTGTTTTTATTTTTGTGTATGGTGTAAGAAAATGGTCTAGTTTCATTCTTTTGCTTGTAGTCATCCAGTTTTTCCAACAGCCATTTATTGAAGGAACTGTCTTTTCCTTACTCTATATTCTTGCCTCCTTTGTCATAGATTAGTTGACCATATAAGCATGGATGTCTGGGCTCTCTATTCTGTTCCAGTAATATATTTTTGTGCCAGTACAATACTGTTTGATTACTATAGCTTTGGTAGTGTATCTCAAAATCTGGAATTGTGATACCTCCAGCTTTGTTCTTTTTCAGGATTGTTTTTGGCTGAATATTCAAGGTCTTCTGTGGTTCTGAACAAATTTTAGGGTTATTCTTGTTCTGTGAAAAATGCTATTGTTATTTTGATAGGGATTGCATCGATTCTATAGATTGCTTTGTATACTATGGTTATTTTAACAATATTAATTCTTCCCACCCATGAGCATGGAATATCTTTCCCTTGTGTTATCAGTTTCTTTAATCAATGTTTTTGGTGCACTTGTAAATGCAATTGTTTTCTTAATTTCTTTCTGCCACTTTGTTAGAAATTGTTAATAGGGGCGCCTGGGTGGCCCAGTCGGTTAAACGTCCGACTTCAGTTCAGGTCACAATCTCGCGGTTTGTGAGTTTGAGCCCCACTTTGAGCTCTGTGCTGACAGCTTAAAGCTGGAAGCTGCTTCAGATTCTCTCTCTCTCTCTCTCTCTCTCTCTCTCTCTCAAAAACTGAGTAAACATTACAAAAAAATTTTTTTAAATGTTTCTATACAAATTATTAGTATATAAAAATACAACAGATTTCTGTATATTAATTTTGTATCCTGCAACTTCTGAATTCATTTGTTCTAATAGTTTTTTGGTGGAGTGTTTAGGGTTTTCTATATATAGTATCTTGTCTTTTGCAAATAGTAAGTTTATATCTTCGTTACCAATTTGTATGCCTTTAATTCTTTTTCTTAATCTGATTGATATAACTAGAACTTCCAGAACTAGGTTCAATAGAAGGGGCAAGATGCACATTCTTAACTTATTTCTGATCTTAGAGAATAGCTCTTAGTTTTTCACCACTGAATATGATGTTAGCTATGGGCTTGTCATATATGGCCTTTATTATGTTGAGGTGTGATCCCTTTAAACTCATTTGTTGGCAGTTCTTATGAGTAAATGATGAATTTTGTTAAATGTTTTTTCTTCATCTATTGAGATGATCATACAATTTTTATCCTTCATTTTGTTAATGTGGTATATAACATGGATTGATCTGCAAATATTGAATCATCCTTGCATCCCCCAGAATAAATCCCAGTTGCTCATGGTGAATGATTCATTTAATGTATTGTTAAATGAAGTTTGCTGATGTTTTGTTGGGTATTTGCATCTGTATGCATCATATCTTTTGGCCTGTATTTTTTTTGTAATGTCTTTGTCTGGTTTTGGTATGAGGGTAATGCTGGCCATGTAGAATAAATTTGGAAGCTTTACTTCCCCTTCTATTTTTTGGAAAAATTTGAGGAGACTGTGTATTAAGTCTTCTTTAAGTATTTGGTAGAATTCACCTTTTGAATGCATCTAGTCCTGGACTTTATTTTTGGGGAGTTTTTTGATTACCATTTCAATTTCATTACTAATAATTGATATGTTCAGACTTTCTATTTCTTCTTGGGGCACCTGGGTGGCTTAGTCAGTTAAGTGTCCAACTCTTGATTTCAGCTCAGGTCATGATCTCACAGTTCGTGGGATGAAGCACTGCATAGAACTCTGCGCTAAGCCTGCTTGGGATTCTCTTTCTCCCTCTCTCTCTGCCCCTCCCCTGCTTGTGCACAAGCTCTCTCTAAATAAACAAACATTGAAAAAAGATTTTCTGTTTATTCCTGATTCAGATTTGGAAGATTATATGTTTTTAGGAATTTATCCATTTCTTCTAGATTATCCAATTTGTTGGCATATAATTTTTTGTACTAGTCTCTTTTAATCTTTCATATTTGTGTGGTGCTGGTTGTTCCCCCTATATTTCTATTTTTTCCTTTCATTTTTCTTAGGAGTCTGGCTAAATGTTTATCAGTTTTGTTTGATTTTTTTCTGTTGTACATTTACTCGCTATTTCCTTTATTTCTGCTTATTATTATTATTATTATTTCCTTCCTTATTATTATTTCCTTCCTTCTACCAACTTTGGACTTTATTCCATTTTTCTAGTTCCTTTAAGTATAAGGTTAGATTGAGATCTTTCTTGAGGTATTGTAACCTGTATTGCTAACCTGTATTGAGATCTTTCTTGAGGCAACCTGTATTGCTATAAATTTACCTCTTAGAAGTGCTTCTGCTGTATCCCAAAGATTTAGATCACTGTGTTTTTGTTTTCATCTGTCTCCGTGTATTTTTTTATTTCCTCTTTATTTGTTGACCCATTGGTTGTTTAGTAGCATGTTGTTTAGTCTCCACATGTTTGTGGGTTTTTCCTTTTTTTTTTTTTCTTATAATTTCTGGTTTCACACTGTTATGGTCAGTTAGGATTTTAATCTTCTTAAATTTATTGAGATTTGTTTTGCAGCCTAACATGTGATCTGGCCTAGAGAATGTTCCATGTGCACTTGAAAAGAATGTATGTTCTGTATATAATCTGTTAAGTCCATCTGGTCTAATGTATCATTCAAAGACACTGTTCCCTTATAAAGGGATAAAATGACAGTAATGTAATAACAGTAGGAGACTCTAACACCCACTTGGGTAGATCATCCAGGCAGAAAATAAATATCTGTTAATATTTGCTTTATGTATTCAGGTGTTCCAGTGATGGGTGCATAGATGTTTACAATTGTTATATCCTCTTGTTGGATTGATCCCTTTATCATTATGTCATGCCCTTCTTTGTGTCTTGTTACAGTCTTTGTTTTGTCTGATGTAAGTATTGCTATCCCAGCTTTTTGTAAGTACATATCTATCAATAATTACCTTAAATAGTCTAAATGCTCCAAAAGACAGAGTAAAGGGATGGATGGAAAATAAGACCCATTTATATCTATATGCCTACAAGAGACTCACTGTAGACTGAAAATGAAGGAAAGAGTAGGAAGATACTCCATGCAAATGAAAGCAAAAAACAAAAATAATAAGTCCAAGTAGCAACACTTTCTTGAAAGGCAGATTTTTCCATATGTAAAAATAACATGATTATTGTAAACAATCCTAAAGTATTTAGAAAAAGAAAAAAAAAATCTTGGGACTACAGAGTCAAAGACAACAACTGCATTGTCAGGACTTTAATGCTTACAGAAAATGCTTACAGCCCCTGTGAAGAGACTCCAGGAAGTTTGAATGACCCATTGAGGAAATTGCGTTAAAAATGTCATCTGCAGGTTCTATTCTTACTTACGCAGTAGACGCTTTATTAAATGTCAGTTTATTAAATAATTTAAATATTTTAATATACTAAACGGACTCTTGTCTGTTTAGTAGAGTATGTACTCTATGTTCTAATTATGCCACATAATTTGAATATGCAGATTAATTCTGGTGTTATCACCAGTGCTGCATCAACCTGAATTTCACCTCGGTGTTCTGCAAGCAGGCAGGAATGATCCAATTATTAGAGAAGTCAGAACTGTTTAACTTTTATAGCTATCACAGTAGTATAAATAATGGTAAATGTTAACGTTTTCAGCAACAAATAATCTTTTCCCCTGGGAAATGAAGTGTGCTCATGCTTAATCCAAGCCTTGTCAATATTTTTAAAGGAAAAGAAACAAGAGGAATGGCTAATCTGACTAGCAAAAAATGCATATAGATAGCCCTAAGGAACAAGCCTTTATGCCTTGCTTTTATTTTATTACCTTCCCTTCTGTTGTCAATTTTTCCCCAGGCCCAGATTATATCAAACAGAGATTTCAGGAAGGTGTAGATGCTAAAGAAAATCCAGAAGAAAAAGTACCAGAAAAGCCACCTACACCAAAGGAATCTCCTCATTTTTATCGCAAAGGCACGACACCCCCCAGGTCTCCTGAAGCAAGTCCCAAACAAAGCCACTCTCCCCAGCCCTCCTCCCCGAAACCCACGAAGAAGCAGAACCCTAGCTCAGGGGCAAGACTCAACCAAGACAAACGGAGTGTGGCTGATGAGCAGGTGACAGCCATCATCAACAAGCCTTTGATGTCAAAGCCTCCCACAAAGGAGGTGGGAGCCATGGTGCCCCTTTCCAAGTACTCTGGCCGCCACCACATCCCTAACCCCAGTAACGGGGAGCTGCATTCTCAGTACCACGGCTACTACGTGAAACTGAACGCCCCCCAGCACCCCCCAGAAGACATGGAGGAAGATGAAGGATCGAGCCAGTCTTCCTCAGCGCTGGTGCACAAGCCATCACCCAACAAGTGGAGTCCCCCTAAATCTGTGACAAAACCAGTTGCCAAAGAAAGCAAAGCTGAGCCAAAAGCTAAGAAGTCTGAACTTGCTATACCAAAGAATCCAGCAAGCAACGATTCATGCCCTTCTTTGGAAAAAGAAGCCAATTCGGTAAGTTGTGCAAGATGTGTTTTTTCTTTCTTTTGGTTCTTTTCAAAAAGAACCGCTTTTGGTAGCGGCGTAGGATAACTTGCATCTCGATGACAGCTCGGCTAGCGAAAGTTCTGATGAATGAACATAGGACTGTATAGGGTAGAGCTTAGCATCTTTGTAGCCTAAGACAGCAAAGAACTGTCAGAGCAGAAATTCCTCCTTGCTGGCTCAGCCACCCACCTTAGACATCATTCAGATAGCTGGGCTATTGGTGTGTCACATGTTAGCAAGCCTTTACACACTTCTTGGTAAGTTTTGTGGTCACTTAGTTTGAGCTGCTGTAACAAAAATGCCATAAACTAGATGGCTTAAACAATATTTCTTTCTTGTAATTCTGGAGGCTGGGGAGTCCCAAGATCAAGGTGCCATAGACTTGATGTCTGGCAAGAACCCAATTCCTGGTTCGTAGACCGTCTTGCTGTACGTACCCTCACATGGCTGAGAGAGAGAGAAATAGCATACTCTGTGGTGTCTCTTCTCGTGAGGGCCCCACCCTCATGACCCAGGGCCCATCTCCCAAAGGGCTCCCCTCCAAATACCGTCACATTGGGAAGTAGGGTTTCAACATACAAATTTTGGAGAAACACAAACATGTAGTCCTTAACTGTAGCTAAGAAAGGAGTCATGGGACCCCGACCAGGGCCAGCACCTCTCGGAGCCCTGGCTGGGAAGAGGCTTTTCCACTACCATTCACTAGGTTCTTAGCCCTGCTTTGACCCTCACAAAACACATAAAGGAATGGATGGAAAACAAGACCTATCTGTATGTATATGTGTACAAGAGACTCACTTCAGACCTAAAGAGACAGACTAAAAGTGAAGGAGTAGGAAAAGCTACTCCAGTCAGCATCTTTGGGGCGCCTGGGTGGCTCAGTCGGTTGAGTGTCCAACTTCAGCTCGGGTCATGATCTCGCAGTTTGTGGGTTCAAGCCCTGCGTCAGGCTCTGTGCTGACAGCTCGAAGCCTGGAGCCTGCTTTAGATTCTGTGTCTCCCTCTGTCTCTGTCTGCCCCTCCCCTGCTCATGCTCTGTCTCTCAAAAATGAATAAACATTAAAAAAATTTAAAAAAAAAAAAGAAAAAAGAACATCTTTTCTAGCTATTGCGAATTATTCCCCTAAATACTTAGTTTGGATTTTACTCAATTAGCCAGGCTTTGCAACTAGAACATTTTCTTTTCAACTACTTGAGAAAATTGCTTTGGTCTTCTGACTTGTCAGAGATTTCAGTTTCCTGGTAAATGCTAGTTTTATTGTCAGTCTGGAGCACTTAAGGTTTTTAATTCTTCAACCATATTATTGCTAATGTCATTTGATAAGCATGTAGAGATTTATTTGTTCAATGATATAAGGAATTCATACTTTATCAAATTCTATAGAGTTTATAAAATCTGGAAGCTGACCAACTGATCTTTTGACCTAGTCACATGTTTTTTGGAACAAAGGTGTTGCTTGTTAAATGTAGCTTAGGGAAGAAGCCACAGCTGACCCAATACTTAGTAATTTCTGAGACTTTTCCATAAATGTGCAGATTAATAAATTGGGCAACAAGAATATAATACCACTGTAAGTTTTTTTTTTTTCTTTTGTCTGTTAAGTTTAACAGGGTTAAACTGTTTACAATTAAACAGTAACAATGTTAAAAAATTGAAATTCATCTTTTTTATTAACTTACCTTTGATGTTTCTTAGGTTTATTTTGCTAATATTTACAAACACCAGTTCTCATCTTTTTAATCATCTAAATATAAATTAGATTAACTGCGTTAACTTCCTGAGAGTCATCCTCCATGGGGATAAATGGTTTTCAAAACAGACTAACTCTATTAGTGCTGGTTTGCCGGACTTACAAGGGTGAAATTCAAACAATGCAAGGCCATATACAGTGTCTTGTAAACTTTCTTTAAAATGTTACTAGTGTGTGATAAACTCACCACTTCCTTGTTTAGAAAAAGTTATCTTTTTTACTTCTGTGCAGAACCATCTGATTCTTGGAGGTAGCTGGGCACCCTCCAGCTGGGTAGGTCGGTCTCTAGGGTCCCTTCCATACCTTAAGGTACATGAGGCCTAGCACTCCACAGCCTCTGTGCGTGACAGGAACCAGAAGTCAAGAGTGCCTTGGCACCTCCTTGTGAAGATTTTAACAATTAACCTTCTTTTCCTGATAATAACAGAAAGCTGCCTTTCACACTCCTGGTGACTGTTTTCCTGACAGTTAAAACCGTCATAAAGGTAGTTAATGAACCACCTTTAGAACAAAGGAATAGTGCATACAATTTTGACATAGACACTGTATAAGCTAGAGGTTTACAAATAACTTGAAAGCTCATAGGAGTATTCACAATAAAGCACACACTGGACGGAAAATCAGACTGAATCGGTGTTCCTGGTGGGCAGCTGAGAGATCTGGTTTGAGTCAGAATCACCATTTTTAGGCTGGTTGGATACACTGGAATCTGGACTTTTAGTCACCAGCCTATTGACTGAGACAGTATAGGCTGGTGGCTAAGGGTGTGGACTCTGGTGCCAGATTTTCTCTAAGTTCAAATCCCAGTTGTGTTGCTTCTCAGCCATGGGCTCTGGGGCAGGTTTCCTACCTGTTCTGTGAGTTGCTCCTCTCCACTGGTATCATAGTGTTGTTGAGGAGATTAACTGAGTTAGTGCTTCCTTCCACAGTTCTTAGCACAGCGCCTAGCACCTGGATAGGTGCTCAAAAACAATGGTTATTACGGTTTCAACACTGTAGTTGTTAAAGCATAAAATAGTTCACAAATATTCCAATAGATTTGGACCCATTCTCAGGATCACCCTGGATATTGATCTTCTAGAAATAGAGAAAATCTTCTGGGGGACAGGCTGACACTAAGCAAATAAGAGAAGGGAGGTGATGCCAAGGGATTACTCTAGCATCCCTTCTCAGGAAACATGTGACTCCTATGGGCCATGGTTGCACATGGACTAATGTCCCAGGGAAACCGTTCTGTGTGGTACCAACATTTTTGTAGGATTTTGCAACATTGACAACTTGTAGGAGCTACGAGAGACATCTTCACAGCCTTATCAAACAGACCAGCAAGGTCTCTCCTAAGAAGGAATCTTGACTCCTTCTGAGAACTGCCTGCACTTTTTCTTACCATTTACTCTCTTCCAAGTCTATTTTGAAATTTACCTAATCTTGCTTTTCAATTGTTATAAAACTTTAAGGCATCCCTTGAAGTTACACACACGCTGAAACCCTAAAAACAGTAAATACGTAAAAACTTGGCTATTAATACTAAATTGTGTGCTTTCCACGTTTTTAGAGAAGTTTTAGATTTAACATAAACTGTAGTAGCTCACCAGACTATTTCTCACAGTTTTAAAAGAGGAATAGTCTTTTGAAGGAAAAACGGTAAATTTCTTGAGCTAGAACTTCTTTCCACATTTTGCCGTCCTACACTTTCTTTTCTAACTGCCTGAAAGTTCTTCCAATCAAGACTTGCACTTTGCCGGCTACAGCTTCTTTTATTCCACCTGTTTCAGTCAGTCTTGAAAAGCAAGACTGATTTTTTTTTTCATTTTGCTATTTTAAGCTACAACTGGCTACCACAGTCATGTTTATGAGACTTCACCTTAAAGCTTTCCACCCCGTGCCCAGCCTAGGTATCTGAAGAACACAGAGGTCACGTCTCAATATCTACCTATTAAACATAGCATCCCAGAATTTATTTTCCACCTGGTTGCTGTTTGAACTTTTTATGCCTGGCTCACCCTCATCTTTACCGGGTCATCTTTAAAAATGGCTTCGTAAATGGAGTTGTCCTAGTTGGATAAATAAATATATGTTAGGTGTTCAATATATACATACGTATCCATCCAAAAATGCTATCCAATTCAAAAAGATAAATTCAGGGAACTTGTACGGATTTATGAAATGGGAAGTAAAAAGTCCAGACTCACCTTAAACTTTTGAAGTTAGATTCACCAAAGGCACTTTCTCTGTTAGTCTGCTTTTCCTCGGACCACTATAAAACACTGAACTCTACATTATGTTGTTCTGACCCCATATACTTTTCCTTGCCTTTCATATCATGGTCTTTGGGAATTATAAATTAAATCCACTGACTCAGAAGAGTTAAGTGAATCCAAACTCCTTAACATACTCCTGAGCAAAATCTAATCAAAGTTTGTGATAGTAATAGCATTTCCTTAATTTCCATGCTGAGTTACAATGTTAAAAGATTATTTCAATTATTTTCTGAGGTATAAATTTTTCTTACATTATACATTTTAGGTTAATCATTATTGATGAGTTACATAGATTAGGACCCTTCTAGTAACTTAGGACCCACTGTTCTTCTAGAATAGTTGTATTCTATCAAGATTTGATGTTTTTTTCTGCTACCATGAAATCATAGGGTATAGATGAAAATGCCATTTTTAAGAACTTGATTAGAAATTATTTTTTTTTTAATTTTTTTTCAACGTTTTTTATTTATTTTTGGGACAGAGAGAGAGCATGAAAGGGGGAGGGGCAGAGAGAGAGGGAGACACAGAATCGGAAACAGGCTCCAGGCTCCGAGCCATCAGCCCAGAGCCTGACGCGGGGCTCGAACTCACGGACCGCGAGATCGTGACCTGGCTGAAGTCGGACGCTTAACCGACTGCGCCACCCAGGCGCCCCTAGAAATTAATTATTTTTAAACTAAGTCCTGTGGCTATAATAGGGATGTGGGGAAAAAAAGGGGCTCTGAAGTAGACAAAGTTTAATTTTAGTTCTGTAATTTGTTTAAACTGGATGAGTAACCTCGGGCAAGAAACTTACCCTCTCAGAGCTCTGTGAAATGGAACTCCTAATCACCTGTGAAGAAGAAATAACCTACCCAGAAATGCTTAGCCCACTGCCTGGTATATAAAGACGTGCAGTAAATGTTGCTTTTTCCTCCCGTTTACTTGGGGTTTAGGAACTAGGGTTTTTCTTCTTCCTAATACTCCCTATCTCAACCCGTGTTTACTTCCTTTTCTCAACCACCCTGACTTTACTAATCACCCTGTTCATCATTTAAGGTGATGAATTCATAAGGTCAACTACCACACCCACAGTACCTGGAAAAGTACCAGATGATAGTAGGTGTCCATAATGGAAACCTGAATGAATTGGACAATCCGTATGCATGGGCACACAGTGGTGATCAATGCAGGGCCACTGTGGATCTCAGTCTAGGACAAAGACAGAATTTAACAAGAAGTGACAAAGTATGAAGTGTCAGGATAGACAACGACCAGGACACTCTGACCTCTGCCTCTGAGGTTGTGGGCCCATCTGGGGAGGAAACCTCCTAGAAGGGTATATGACCCAAGCTCTAGACCTTGTGACATGAGCAGTGGACCAATGACAGTTCCAGTCTTCCTTACTTAACACCCCCCACCAAAAATCACACAACTGTCCTCATCTGTGAAATAAGAATTAAAATACCGACGCCACCCACCTAAAGCCAGTTTAGAACACATTTAATACTACTTAAGAATTAGACTCTATTTTAATAGTAAATACCACGATCATGTCTCTGCAACAAAAATGGCCAAGCATGAGCAGCTCTGAAAAGATGGGTCATAAGGTTGCTTTTTGTTTAAACAAGTAAACAAAGTTTGGGTACCTTGGCTAACTGGTATTTGTTGTAGCCTTATTTATCAAAATAGGAGTCTGCAGTTCATCAAATAGAACTTGATTTCTGAAATGTTGTGGCTGTGAGAAAAGACGTAAAGAATTAGACCTGCAGAATAATTTCTGCAAGTGTTCAACTTCCCGCTCGCAATTTTTGCTTCAAGGATGTGGTGGTGTCGAAAAATACGACCAGGAAAAAGAGGGACCCTCATTTTGAGTTTTCCTAAATTGTTCCCGAGAGGCCTCAGTATCCTAAAGATCTTATTCTTACTTTCCAACTGCCTTCATGAAGAAACAATTCTTTCTCATCTAAATTATGCCTTAACAAAAAGTCATGCCCACTTTCCATTAGTTCCTGACCCCAGTGTGGCAAACTCTCTCTCGCCCAGACTGTTGTCGAATGTTTTGAGGTGAATGTTGAGATTATTTGTAAGTCGTTTTCTTAGATTAAATCAAGACTGGAGTCATTTCATAGTGAAAGTGCAGAGACGGCTCCATCTAAATACGGCTTTGCTATTTTTAGTTTATACTTTTTGGAGCTGTTGTCATTTGTTCATGCCATATTTACTGCAATGGGGTTGAGTTTTTTTGTATTTTTGGTAATCGATTTTATGAGCTAGTTTACATATTGATGTTAACATGGAAATGTTATGCCTTGTTTTGTTCTGTTCATTTCCAGGGCCCTAATTCAGTCATGATTGTCCTTGTCATGCTGTTGAATATCGGGTTGGCCATTCTTTTTGTTCACTTTCTAACTTGATTGGAATTAGGAAAGGTAAGAATAGCCTTAATTTCTACATAAAAATCAGTTCCTAACGTTCTTTTCCCATATTCAAATTTATTTTTTTTTTTAACTGCATATTGTCCTTCACTTTCATTTTGGCTGTGCCTGAATGTGATTCAACATAGTTACTTAATGATATAACTGTTTTGACCCCTCAGTGAAGTCATGACAACTAGCGGTGTTAGCCCACACTTCCCTGCCGTGGCGTCATCAGCCCTTTAAATGGCACACCCCAGTCAGACTCAGACTCAGGGAAGGAGGCTTGGAATTAGGATGGGATCGCGAAAGAGATGACACTTGGAAAATTCAGCCAGAGGACCTGTTCATGTTCCCCTGGGAATGCTTTGTGGCTTTGGGGTCCTCTGGGAGCTGAAGCACGCAGCCGTGTTGGAGAGCAAAAGTTAATAATCATTCTTTTTTAAAATCTGCTGAAGCAGCCCCATCCGGCGAAGTTCTTGGCATTGGCTACTCCATCTGTCCTAGCAGAGTGTGACTAAACTGGAAATGTATGGAGCTGCATTTTTTTTTTTTTTCCCTTGATGGAAGTCAACAGCTGCCTTACTATTTTGCCATCGGACGTTTTTAGTAGGGAGCTGGGGAAACGAGCGACTGCCCGAGGAATGCGGTCGGAGGATTGTGTTGCTGTGGCCACAGTTCCAACGCTCACTCCTGTCTCATTGGAAGAAATAGGTAGCAGCATCACTCACCAGTCTTATGCCGTGACCTGCTGCTTTAACATCTCCTGGAATGTTCTGGGAGAGAACGTTTCGTTGGCTTGTGCACGACTATGTTCATTTTTGCCGTTTATTGAAGTAGGATGTATAGTCCTCTACAACGTGTGGTCCCGGCTGGATGAAACACACTTGTTGCATCTCAAGGAAGAGAAACGACACAATTCTAGAGAAGATGTGTTCATTTCGATAGCAATACATCATTGTTGTCATGTCATGCAGTCTTCCAAAACCTGTAACAGGCTGTTGAAAATTTAGCGATGTGAAGGCATTATACCTTCCTAAGAAAAAAATTGAAATATTTTTAACATTACCGAGATGAATGATTTATGCACTTAGGAGGTGCTAAATTTTAAAAGCTGAAAGACAACAGAATTCTAAGAAGTATAGTCAAAGTGTTGCATGGATTGCAGTAATCGGTGTTTAAAGGATTCAGTTTCATTGCTGACGTACTTTACAACCAAATAAAATCTTGTCAGTGACTATGTTAATTCCCATGAAAGTTAAGCAAGATGCTATTAATAACTGCTCTAATCTTTTTTTTTTTCCTCCAACTTAAATTTTTGTTGAATACATTCAGGTAGAGCATAAAGCTTTGTTAAACCTCTGCTTCTCGATTTTATGCCTTTCGTGTCCTTCAAAGTCCTTTCGTAATTTTATTTCACATTTTAAAGGTTTAGACGTTTTTATTTAAATATTTGTCTTTTGCAGTCCTTTGTTATTCTGACATAATCTGATTTTTTTTTTTTGCTGTTTTATAATTTATCCTTTATTACTCAAACGCATGCTTACTTAGAGACACTACGTGGTCTTTATAAAAATAATTATTTGAAAAGAAATCAGGGGAGGAAAGGTATCTTAAATCTCTGTTAAGACATTACATCGTGGAGAAGGAGCTAGCTATTCCTAAATATTTTTCACAGTCTGCATGGTTTAATCAGATTCTTGTTACCTTGTTTGCTACCTTTTCAATGCAGAAGAGACAATTCACAGGTTAGCACAGGTGTGGACTGAATGCTTTGTCCCCTGCAGGGCAGTAACCCAGTGGTGTTTCTTGCAGAAGTGCAATATATATTGAGAATCCTGGGTGTGACCGATATGGAATAAAGAAGAAAGCAGAAAGAGAGCAAATGAAAATTACAACTTGTATATTTATTTATTTTTTACATTTTGCTTTGACTTTTAAATTTAGGAAGTACGTTTTTTTAGCCAAGAAACGTTTCAGCTCCTGTGTCAGTCTCCGTACACTCACTGCGCCTTCCTAACCCCATAGCTCTTGATGCTGGGAAAGCGGATTTTTTTTAAAAAATAAAACAAAATATTTAATCTTATTAAGTGTTTATTTAAAACGTGTAATGCTTTGGAAATAATGGGTAACAGATAACTAAAGGATATGTTTATAAAGTCAGCATGTTCCATTTATAAATATGTGTATGATTTATAAGCTTTTTTAAAAACAAAGCTCAAATTGTTGGTATTTTTCTAAAATGTGCACAGCTGTATTTTACATGAAAGGCTCTTTCTAATGGGTTGTTATACTGTACTCTACATTTTGGACAGCACATGAAGTCTGCCAATGTACTTAATAAAACATGACCTTGTTTATTTAAAGTTTCTTGCTGTGAAAAAGAACTCCCTACCTGTGAGTTCCTTTATTTATAATCCTTGAAACCAAAATGTATAATGTACAGTTTTCACAACTGTATCTGCTCTAATAAAAAAAAAAGTTGGTTATTAATAAAGTTGCAGGTGTGTTTCCTTTGTGAGTAAATTATGTGGAATTTTTTGATGGTGGTTGTATTAAAAGAAAGATCTGCTGAAAAATTAACAATAGAAATGGGGTGTAAAATGCTCAGAGAAGCCACATCGTTAGGAGGTACTCCTACCGTGATGTTATTTCTTTCTGCATTTCTTTCTTCCCGGGTGTTTCAGATAATTTTGTAAAATAAGATTCGTTTTTCTGCTGAGTGCCTTCATTATTTGTATTAGGGCCTTATCTGGGGTTTTATGTCTGCTCTTGTTTTTAAGGAAAACCCAGAGTTGGAGTAAATCCCCCTCCTGCTTGGGTACTTTTCAATTAATTAAAGTTTTTGGATCATTGTGCCCCAGATAAATTAATATTTCGCTGTGGCCCCTGTTTAGACACATTTCTGGAAGCTTAAGCACACTGTGCAGTTGAATAAGCTTACTGCCACTAGAATTTCCAGCCCCCGGGCTCCCTTTGAGGCCGTCCGATGCTGGCCTAGGCAGCCTTGACGCACCGCGAGCTGCCAATGAGGTATATAATAAAAGGACCACCTCCAAAACGGCTTCCCAGGGAGCTGCTGTGGTGCTCTTAAATTCCCAAATTAGTCACTCCTGTTGAAGGCTAAGGTATTGGAGACCCCAACATAAATAATGCATAAAGTTATCGCCTCTTAAGTTGTAACAGATTTATCAACTTAAATGATTAATCTCCTAGTAAATCCTAAAAGAATGGAACACGGAACACACTGTTTTGGAGCAGGCGGCAAAGGTACAGGGTGCAAGAAAGATTATTGATTCCAGTTTCATGTCCAAACCACAAGTTTTGATGGCCGAAGCCAAAGCTGGGGTGAAGTCTTTGTGGTTGGGAAATCTGGAAAATATTCTACATGCCCTTTTAATGCAATAGCTATTTCGGGAGCTATGGTAAGCAGGCTCCCCAGGCATACGCTCAGTGCAACTCGCGGCCCTCCTCCCATGCTTCGGAAACTTGTGTAGCCTCCTCTTTCCAACTTACTATGTGGCTGTACACGTGGCATATTTCGCCAGTACAGGAACCCAGCAGTTCAGCAGGCTGAGTTTCATGATCCCAGGTTTGTGGTCCAGCATTTCCTTCGTACCCCAAAAGTACTGAAAAGTACTTCAGTGTTCTGCACTAGCCTCTATAGGAGTCTCATTTATGGGAGTAGGAGCAAATAACAAAACATATAGAATAAAATACTGCTGAATGAATGGATATGGATAAAATTCTGGCTACGGTCATGATTAATTGTGGATTTTTCTCAAGCCCAGACCCTGGTTTCCTCATTTGTAAAATGGACATAACCATAGCACTTAGCACACACTTCGCCGCGTGGTGGTGAAGGAGAAATGAGCTCATTCATGTTAAGTGCTTAGTACAGTGCCTGGCGCATAATAACTTGTGTTAGCTTTTACCAATTGGAGGAACTAGGAAAAAAATTTTCTCTGTCTCAAACACATTAAAAAAAATACAGTGAGGGGCGACTGGGTGGCTCAGTCGGTTGAACATCCAACTTTGGCATAGGTCATGATCTCACGATCTGTGAGTTTGAGCCCCGCATTGGGCTCTGTGCTGATAGCTCAGAGTCTGGAGCCTGCTTCAGATTCTGTGTCTCTCTGTCTCTGCCCCTTCCATGCTCGCTCGCTCTCTTCCACGCTCTCAAAAATAAACATTAAAAATTAAAAAAAAAATAGATCCCACTATAAAGGCCCCTTTTTAAAGGTTATGCCACAGGTCAGATTATGTTCTTTCCTCAGTGGTGAACACTTAACAGAGTTCCTTCTCTACACTAAAATGCCATTTTCTGTACAGTATGATGTGAGACATTGGCTTTACAAAGAATTTTCACGTCAATGACTTGTTAGATTCTTATGAGATCCCTAGGAAAGAATTCTCCAGTTAATGACTTGCCTGAGGCTACCTGCCAAAATGTTAAAAAAATTATATTAGTCCCAGATCTGACTCTCAATGTGCTATTTCATTTCATATGTTGGTTATCATTACTCCACACTGTCATCCTCATCAACCATAAAAAAGTAGAAAATATGATGAAATTGAAAGTAACAGTATGGGTTGAATGAACCCATTTTCGTAAGTTCCTTAAGGACACTTGGTCGATTTAACTATAGTAAAGTTTATTAGAAGTTCTGAATAATTTATACTCTACTGTTTCATGACTTTTAGTCAGGTATTAATGATATTTTTGAACCTCAGAAAGTATGAAATATTAACTAAAGTTTAACATTTAAATGGTATTTTGGAGTCAGAAGCATGTCATAAATGAATTCTGTGTGTGTGTATGTGTGTGCTTGAACTTGATCTCAAGAATTAACCTAGAAATTGCACATTGTGCCTAAAAGACTTAAAAGATTTAGACAGATACTGTAATGGTCTTTAGATACTTCATCGCAGTGTTCCATATAGTTTCTTCAGTATTCTCTTGAATCCCAAATCTGATTTAGGTCAAGTATTAGAATTAACACAAGAGTGAGGGCCTAACCTTTGTTCGGCTAGTGATTGGTAAAGCAGTTCGCTTACTATGATAGTGTATCAAACTTTGCCGAGAATTTTGGAGAGAAGATGTGGAGGGAGAGATAGACTCAGCAAAAGATATGACAGTATTGATGTACAAGTCTTTTCTTATTCCCATCCTTGCCCCAAGCAAACTCATTCATGAAACATCAAGAACTGTATCGAGCACTTGATGGAATTATGATATTTGTTCAAAGGAAAGCAACAGAGGTCTTTGATTTCAGGAATGTAAGTCACATTCCTGCCATTGATGGCACATATTTGGAAGAAAAGAATCTGATAGATAAATATCATATTCCCATGCAGTCAAAGTAGAAGCGACAGTGAAAAGCCAAAGATCATCTAAAATTCTCCAGTTCTGGGCATGTTCTAACAACAGCTTCTGACCACAGGAGCCAGTACCTGGAATCACGTAGCTGCTGCTGAGATTGATAAAAACCAAAAAGATGCTCACACATAGCATTGTTGTACAGCCAACAGGTGTGGACTCCATCCCTTAAGGGCTAGACCTAGCATTTTGAAAACAGTTTTACATCAGATAATTAGGCCAAATAAAAGCAAAGGTTAGAAACATTCAAATCTATGGAACATTTAAAAGGATAGACAAGTGTCCCTTAAATCTGTTTCTTACTCCTCAGTCCACTGAGACCAAGCAAGAATTTGGGAAGTAATCTGAACACAAGAAAGCCGCAAAGAATGCAGTGCATCTGTGCCCAAAATAAGGTTTGATGCTATCTACATCTGTTTGTCATGATACAAAGTAATGTGGGGGACTCAGCATAATTTTTCATTTCTCACTGTCCATGTCATTTCCCAGTATTTATGTACTTTACAATTTGGTTTTCTTCCATTAGGATTTTTGTGTATAGAAAGAACTCCATTTTTTCTAATAATCAGATCTATATTTTCCTTCACAAAAGAGAAGACCCTACACTGTATTTTTGAGTTTCCATTGGCTCACTCCAGCTATCAGCAATTTACCTGTATTTGTGTTGACATTCTAAAGACTACCTGAGTAAATTATAAAGGAAGCACTGTAAACCTACTTGCTACCCTGCTCTTTAAGGAGTTTTACTTACTTTTATTTTTTACTTTTTTAAAGATTTTAAAGTAATCTCTACACCCAACATGAGGCTCGAACTTATAACCCTGAGATCAAGAGTCATATGCTCTACCAACTAAAGTCAGCAAGGCACCCCCCCCACCCTTTTTTTTTTTTTTAAAGACAAGCTTTCAGGAATTTTAATGTGGCCTATGCGTTCACTACACTGCCTGACCCCTCCGTGCCCTGCAAAACCTGAGCTCTCCATTGCACTGAATCATGGTTCTTTGTCAGTCTCCCCAGACCAGCAGCATGCTTAGACATACACAGTTTACTGGTGCACTTTGACAAACATAGCTGAATTGAGGATATTAGTTCAAATAGAGAAGCATAAAAAGGCTTCAATTCAGCCATGCCACTTTCTCAGATGCCAGTTTATGGAACCAGCTACACACTTCCTTATGAGTTGTCCCCCTGTTCATTGGCTGTGCCAGCACCAAACAGCACATGTCCATTTTGGTACACTGTGAGGAGAGTTTTTGTGTCTGTAAAATGGGAATAATACCTGCCTCTTAGTGTTCTTATCAAAGTAGAGAACTTCAGTCAACTCCCCAACATGCGGTAGACTCTCAACATCTAGTAGGTAACTATTACATTTAATAGTCTCAACGTTACCAGCAATTTTTACTTATTCTTTCATCAAACATTTGTTATGTTACTGTTGAAATAACTTTCAGGTGCCTGGGTGGCTCAGTCGTTAAGCATCTGACTTCAGCTCAGGTCATGATCTCGCAGTTGGGGAGTTTGAGTCCCACATCAGGTGAGCTCATGTCCCGTCTCAGGTGAGCCCTGCTTCAGGTGAGCTCATGCCCCGCTTTGGGGAAAAACACAAGCCCCAAGTGAGCCCTGCTTTTCTCTCTCTCTCTCCCCCACCCGGTCTGTGTCTCTCTGCCCCTTACTCACTTGTGCCCTCTCTCTCTAAAAAAGAAGAGAAAGAAAGGAAAGGAAAAGGAAAAAAGAAAAAGAAAAGCAAACATTCTAAGCCCACAATAGAGCCTCCTTTGCCTGGGGTGCTATGTCAACAAATCAGAACTTGAAAAAGAGAAAGAGAGAGATAGAGAGATAGAGATAGAGAGAGGGAAGGAAGGAAGGAAGGAAGGAAGGAAGGGAAAGGAAGGAAAAGAAAGGAAGAACATTCTAAGTCCAAGATGGAGCCTCCTTTGCCTAGGGTGCTATGTCAACAAACCAGAACTTCAATAACTTTTGGATCCCTGTAAATGTTCCATTTGACCAGAAACACAATATATCCAGTCAGCCAATCCCCACACCCCAAGCCAACTCTGGGTCTGCTCACGCCAAACAAGGTTGAGTGTTGTGGCCCCAACCAATCAGATACTTTCTAT